AGATTTGTTATTTTAATAAATTTATCCTACGGATTATAATGTATTAACAAAAAAATCTAACCATAAGTAACGTCATTCTAAAAAAAACAAAGAGACTAAATTTATCGACAATCAGTCCTTATTATTGTGGATCTTTACAACGTCAATACTCTTCATTTTTTTTTTGCTTGTATTTGTGTAACATGTAACTTGGTTTACTCAAAGTTAAATGATTTTATGATTAAGTTGGGTATTTGTTTTTTATTTTTTGCTCATAGTCATACTCTTCTTCTGTTCAGACCACACGACAATGTAACATGTAGTGATGAATCGATGATAATAACAATCCACTCGAATAATGAATCCATAATGAATGTTAAAAAGACATTAACTAACATAGATCATAGAGAGAAAAGATCTTACTTGCAATTTCACCAAGCTTTCATATGCTACATGAGCAGCCAAACAACTTCTAATAAGCGAAGGAATTCAACATAAAACACAATTTATGAAAAAAAAACAAAGATCAAATTCGAATCGTTAAATTTTTAACCATCAAATTCAAACTTACAATTTTCTAGTTTCGTGTACAAATCAAACATAATTGGCATACACGTTTCACTTGATGAGTAAATAAACCTCTTCACAAACATAATCGAAAGTGAAAGATGATCAGCAAATAACAATTGATCAAGATTTTTTGTATAACCCTGTAATGCAAGATGAGATTTATGACCTAGAGTTATCTCCTCGCTCCTCATCTTTTAGAGCATCACTAAGGCTCTCTTTAGACCATTGCTTTCCATGTGTCTTTTTGGTAGTTTCACAAGCATCTCTATCCTTTTTTTCTCTTATATACGCATATTGTTTAATCTCAATTTCTTGATGTTTTTGATTTTTTTATGTGTTCTTTCTCCTTATTCTCTTTCCTAGTTAATAGACTCTTTCATAATCTCTTAGTCTCTTCCTTCTCAAAAGCTTCTTATCCTTGCGCGGATATGAATAATGAAAAACAATATTTTAAGATTTTAAGTTCATCCAATCAATTTTTTTTCAATTAACATACACGGTCACTACCCCAGCCCATATGCCTCGTCTCTTACCGCATCTCCGTCTCAGTCCTTACCCGTCTCCTCCCAACTTACTTGCGTTCCGTCCCAAATCTTACCTGTCCTACCCCAGCCCTTACCCGTCCTGCCCCAGTGCTTACCCGTATTCCGTCCATGTCCTACCCGTGCAGTCCCAACCCTTATCCATCACGAGCTAGTCAGTCATGTGATGTCTTGTATACATGTAACATTGCACGAAATATAATTGAACAATCCAACATAATATTATTTTCATATATTTGATTAAGCGAAACCAAAAGATAAAAATTAGTAGAAGAAAACCACAAATCCAAACTAACAAAAGAACTGAAAATTTCGATTTGAGAAGTACCAGGTATTATAGAGAGATTATGTTACTTCATTGGAAGTAGATTTTTGTTTCGTGTTAGATGATAAACCCTAAATTGACACAAAACTAAACTTTCTACTCATATATTAGATACAAAAATATAATCGCATCTCAATCTAGGGTTTATCATATGATTCTTCACCCAATGCATATTTTCTTAGACCTACTATCGATGATAGAATGAAATCATTTTTAGCATCAATTTTTTCCTCTGGAACACTCCATGATCGATCCAAAAAGCTTTCTACTTCAAAAATAATATGGTTTTGGGTGAAGTTTTAGCGAATTTCCAAAAATGCTCTGGACTATATGTCTAGGCTATTTTATGTTATCAAGTCTTATGTTCAGGAAGAAGGAAATTCCTACAAGAACACAGGTAAATATTTTATTTATATGATGAGATTATTTTGAACATATTTCATATATACTATCATACGACCAAATTATTACAAACCTGAGTCGAATGGATTATCAATTTTACGGTGCATAATGCCAAGCTAACTTTATAAGGAGCCTCCATCAAATTTCCTTTTACAATTACAAACATTTTTATGTTGTAACCTAAACCTTTGCTATGTCTTACTCGATTATCAATCTATATCCCATGTCAATCTTTAAAACTTGGTTAATTGTTCACCTTCCATGACAATTGCGTAAGATTTTTATATTTCTGTAAATACGCAGATTTTTGTTCGCTTTTTAGTGATGATCAAATAAATACACATATTCAATGATTTCAGTGAATTCTACTTTCTAGTGTATTGTGATTGAAAGTTAAAACTCAATCTTCGTGATCATGTGGTCTTTATATTTTAGGATCTCTATTTGTTAATCTTTTNCANNAATTGGAGTAAANAAATAAAAATACTGAAAATAAAGTTAAAAGAAATAGATTTGTAAAAATGTCTAATTCATTGAAGTTACTTACTTTTGCATANTTGGAAATATTAAAGCAAACATAGAAGGTTTAGTCTTTGATAGCCTTGATTTTC